ATTGTCAATTTATATTTAGTATGAACTTCAATAAAACTATGCAAGTAACTTGCCCTTCTTTGAAGTGATTGTTGCATTTTTCGATATAAAGATATGATTGCACTTCCCCCCACGCATTCACGATGTCCTCAATCAGAACCGATCCCCTCACGCATGAAATAATGAAAATTGGCAGTTTTTAGATTTATTAAGACGTCTATCAACTTCGGACAGCGTACACGCCACCCAAAACGACATTCAATCCCGTTGACAAAGAAAAAACAAAATTTGAACTTGTAGGTCTGTTAATAGAACCATCTCAAAATCTAAATGTCACTTTTTTCGGCGATTACTCGTGGAACGATTGATTTTGTAGGAGTTTTACTCCATGCACAACAGTACATGATACATGTGTCTCTTCGTTAAAGTATTCACCACAGCATAGCATTCTCCGATTTACAATATTTTGATCGGTTAAATTAGAAAATTGCGATATAGAAATGTACATACCTTTCGAAGCGGTGACAATTACTCCACTCAAGCATAACCGGAAAATCCTCTCACGATTTTCATTGCAGAACCGATTGTTCTGCGTGTGTAGATTACCAGCCGTGACAGTATTAACTTAAGAGAACTTATGTTATAACTTTAAACTTTTAACTTACGATCTTTTATCCTCTCAAAAACGAGTGGCATGTGAAGGATTCGAACCCGCGCGTATTTTCTTCATAAACAATAGTCTTCAATCTATGCATGATACCACTAGACCACGATGGTTGACATCAATCTTAATATAAATAGTACTCTTAAAGCGCTTAATTGTCAATACATGTCATTTAACTGTATTTCTGTCTCATTGATAATTCGCTTTTGTAATCTAATGAAATATATATATCTTGGTTTGTTCATGTTTATTGTATTTGTTTTATTTTGGGGGTTATTATTTTTTTAAAGAAATGGGTTAAAACTACTTCTTTGACAGTAAAAACGGAAACAAAATCATCGCCATTTTATGAAAATGAAATATATAATACTTCTACAGGTTATAGGATTAAAACAATTTTTTTGGTCCAGAAAAAAAAATTACAATGAAAAAATTTCATTCCGGGTACAAGGTTCGAATTCTGCACTGTTAATATCACCGTTATGACATTCGTTACCAACGACTAGACGATCACGGCTATGAACAGCTTGATGGTATGTTTATGAAATCAACATAATTATTCATTGTACATCCGTAGCAAGAGCAATTCTGATGGGGATTCAGAATGCGTACCACAGATAAAACTAGTTTATCGCTATTTTACGAAATTTTCCTTTGATCTTGCTGACTGATAATTTTCTTTCTCAGCGGAGTCGAATGATATGAAAATTATAGCTACAAACTAAGGACGCACGTGCCCGTTGTCATGAAATTAACAACGTCGTCATAGGTAAAATAGCGATAAACAGAGTATGATCATTGGTAATCTCAACTCGATTGCTTTTCTCGCTTTCGCCGTACCGGCTCAAGCGAGAAAATCAATCTCGTTGAGATGATCAACGATAATCTATAATTATAGACCGGTGAACGATATATGCCAAATGTAATAACGTGAAAATAATCTTAACTTAATGAAACGGAAACAGTTTAAACAAAATTTAAATATAATTGTTCAATTTAAATCGTAAGCACATAATTTTAATACTATAGGAAAGCATCATGAATTTGAGCATTATGAAATGGCTGATTTATGGAATCTATGCTAACAATATTTATTTGACTAAGAACGACTTAACGGTGTTTAGTCTTCAATGTACCAAATTATGTTGCCAAATATTATATATATAAATTTTGAAGATTCTAAATTTTGGTAATTAAAATTTTTTACCTTTTCAAAACAAGATAAATAAATTCTGTATGTTAATATATGTCTTTTTGAATAAATTGAATATACCAAAATCTATTCAATTTCAATAATTTGTAATGATTAAACATTAAATGAAATATGTATATACAAAAATAAAATCTGGTGTTAAAAAGGGGAGCTAACACCCCATTTAAGTTATATTAAACTTATGTTAACTTGTCAAATGTCTAAATATAGATGCGAACCGTGTGGATATAATCATTTCCAGCTAATATAGAATAAAAAAGACAAATTACGAAACTATTTTTATAAAATATCGTTGATTCATTGTCAAAACGTAAAACAGACAGTCGTTCTACTAGAAATGGGTTAAGCTAGAGAATTGATAAGAAGTAGTGGATTCGGAAACGATAATCAACTTGCGACTAAAGTCGCTCGTTGATTATCGTTTACGAATCCACTACTTCTTATCAATTCTCTACTACTTAACCCATTTCTCTGACGTCATTCTATTGTTCTTACAGTGGATTATTTTTCAAGAATCCACTGACTACTTCGTTAACTTAAGATAATTTTATAACTTTAAACTTTTAACTTACGATTTTTTATCCTCTCAAAAACGAGTGGCATATGAAGGGTTCGAACTCGCGCGTATTTTCTTCATAATCAGTAGAGTCTTCAGTCTGTGCATGATACCACTATACCACGAGTGCTCACATAAATCAGTAGTTAAATAACACTCTTAAAGCGCACAACTGTCAATACATGTCAATAAACTGTATTTCTATCTCAGAGATAATTCGCTTTTGTTATCTAACGAAATATATATACTATGTCTGGATTTGTTCATGTTCTTTTCAAATTTATTTATATCACGTCAACATTGAACGGACTCTAATTTGAGTAAAGTGTGATATATAAGCTACGACCGTAAAACTACTTCTTTGACTGTAAAACCAGAAACAAAATCATCGCCTTTACATGAAAATGAAGTATATAATACCTCTAAGATTAAAACTATTTTTATCGAGAAAAAAATTACAATGAAAAAATTTCATTCCGGATACAAGGTTCGAACTTTGCACTGTTAATATCACCGTTATGGCATTCGTTACCAACGATTAGACGATCACAGCTATGAACAGCTTGATGGTAAGTTTATGAAATCAATATAATTATTCATTGTACATCCGTAGCAAGAGCAATTCTGATGGGGATTCAGAATGCGTACCTCAGATAAAACTAGTTTACTTACCGGTGAACGATATATGCCAAATGAAATTATAACGTTAAAATAATCGAACTTAATGAAACGGAAACAGTTTAAACAGATTTGAATATAATTGTTCAATTTAAATCGTAAGCACAATCGTAATTTTAATACTTTAGGAAAGCAACATGAATTTGAGCATTATGAAATGGCAGATTTATGGCATCTACCTTATCAATATTTTTTTGACTAAGAACGGCTTAACGGTGTTTAGTCTTCAATTAACCAAAACATGTTGCTAAATATTATATATATAAATTTTGAAGGTTCTAAATTTTGGTAATTAAAATTTTTTAACTTTTCAAAACAAGATAAATAAATTCTGTATATTAATATATGTCTTTTTGAATAAATTAAATATACCAAAATCTATTCAATATAAATAATTTGTAATGATTAAACATTAAATGAAATATGTATATACAAAACTGAAATCTGGTGTTAAAAAGGGGAGCTAACACCCCATTTAAGTTATCTTAAACTTATGTTAACTTGTCGAATGTCTAATTATAGATGCGAACCGTGTGGATATAATCATTTCCAGCTATTATAGAATAAAAAAGACAAAATACTAAACTATTTTTATGAAATATCGTTGATTCATTGTCAAAACGTAAAACAGACAGTCGTTTTAATAGAAATGGGTTAAGCTAGAGAATTGATAAGAAGTAGTGGATTCGGAAACGATAATCAACTTGCGACTAAAGTCGCTCGTTGATAATCGTTTACGAATCGACTACTTCTTATCAATTCTCTACTACTTCTCGTTTCTCGTTTTTTTCATATAGATTAGACAGTTGGATTATCTGTTTGCATTGTTTTACACTAGTCATTTTGGGGCCTATTATAGCTTGCTGTTCGTTATGAGCCAAGGCTCCGTGTTGAAGACCGTACTTTGACCTATAATTGTTAACTTTTTATACATTGTGACTTGGATTGAGAGTTGTCCCATTGGCACTCATACAACATCTTCTTATTTATATTAAGTAAATAAATATTCAAATACACGATTTTTTCTAATCTTTTCATCCCTTGTTTTTCTGTTTGGTGGCTGTCCCAATGATGGATATCCCACATGTTTTTTCATTCACACGGAGTTGAACTGTAACAATAATGCAGTTTGATTAGTTATCAGATGATTATTCAAGTCCAAACTTTTTCATAGAAATATTGCGACTATTTTACTCATAAACTCACTAACGAATAAATGAAAATTTGCGGTATACGTCAATGAGACAGCATCCCAACAACGTAACACATCAATATATACGGTCATCAACAATAGACAAGTGTCTATACGATATTTCAAGCACTACCCCCAACTGAGTCTGCATAAATTGTTAATATATATATTTTCAGGGACTATCTGTCGTCAATTTACCGAATCCACTATCGAATGACAAAAATAAAATAAAATGAGTTTTACAAAGTCGACTCACGTGGGTTGACCACTCGCGAGACTCATGACTTCCGATAACTATTACCTACCAGTTAATTTACGCAGTTACTTTTAAATGTTATCTTGAATTATTCAGACTGGTGTCAAATGAATCTGCAGGAATAACCACTTCTCTTAAAGCATAGATTGCTTTAACATTATTAGGAACAATTGTTGGGAAATTTGGGAGAGTGTCATCCGGAATGCATGTTAATAAAATTTCAATTTTCAAATTTTTTTTTAAATAGTTCAACCTTATACAATCTAAATCTTTACTATATGGTGCGGTTTTGAAAATTGTATTGTATTGTACTATATTGCTATTCTATTGGCGTACCATGGTCCGGTTTATTTCTATTGATTTAGGATTTATTGTCTAATCAATATTAACATTAGTACAACATTCTTTCATGAAAATGAAATATTTAGTAGAAAAAAATTAACTTTTTATTTTAGGCTCCACGAGTGAGAATAAAAAGCCACGACTGGTTCATATAAGCATTGGCAATGAAGAAACATCATCGATGATTATAATGTGGTCCACTGTCTCCCAAACCGGATGTATTGTTTTCTATGATATAAGCGACAAATTACAGTTCAGCATCGAAGGGAATGTATCAAAGTTGCTGGAGGACAATTGGAATGCACTTTCTTATATACACAGAGCAGAACTTACGGTATGATATCAAAATCTGATTGAAAAACATTAAAAAAAAAAAAAAGAAAAGCAACACGTGAACCTGAGATCGCTGAATGGTCACCAACATAATGTTGCAGAGTAAAAATCATATTTATGCATGGACGTGTTTTTTTGGCGCAAGAAATGGTTAATCGAAAGCATACGCAATGATACTCTGAATTGAAATACGAATTTATGTCATCACCTATATTTATTCGAGATTCAAATCAATATTAGTTGAATTCGGATGTCAAACTACTCACCTCAAGTGTTCTGCATGACTCCGGATTCATTGCATTTTGGTCTGGAATTTGTGAGAACGAAAACCAATGTGTGTCGTGTGAACAAGACGTAATATGAATTATATAATGTAAATGAACCAAGACATGTAGAATAGCTGGTCAACACAATGAATACAATTGTCAAAATCGCACCATAGTAAAAATTTAGATTGTATAATGTTTAACTATTTTTCTCTATTCTTTATACATTTTGTACATTTTCGTTTCTTTACATTTTAGGCACCCATTATTCTCTTTTCTTTTTTTTGGTCCATTTTTCTGTATTCTTTATATTTTTTTACTTAGTCTATTATTCACTATTCTGTAAACTCGCATCCACACCATCAGTTATAGAAAATGAGGTTCACATAAGAATAGAATACACAAAATTTATTAACTCTAAAGTTTTCTGTACTAATTGATACTTTGAGAGAATAATTAAGAAATAATTCATCTATGGCTTCCATGAATTATTTCGATTCTAATAGGACAAATACGGTCACTAAAAACTGAAGCGAGGGTGGGTATGCCGTGTTTGTAGCTGTTCTTTTTTTCTCCCTGTAAGATAAAGCTTAAACATTTTAATTAATCTGCAGCTGCATGAATTATTTCGCAAATAACCGCTAGAAAAATTGTGCTCAATTCTTTTTAATTCTCAAACCCAACATTTGCCCTTTTTAATTTACACGTTTTTCTCGTAAGCTACTGTCAATTCCACAGTTGACATTTCGTAACGAAGGAGCCGCCATGTTGACTTGTTGAAATCAGTAAATATGCGAATAATGCAATTGAACCGAAAATAAAACAACACCTACCCCAAAAATCCATTTTTATGTAAAGTTTTTTTTTTGAATGATTTCACATTTTGTCATGTAGTGATCTTTTAAAGCTGACTATACTGTTTGAGTTTTTCTCATTGTTGCAGGCCGTACGATGACCTATGGTTGCCTAAATCATTTGGTCTCTGGTAGATAGTTGTTTCACTGACAATTAAATGACGCTTTCTGATATTTTATATATAAGTAAGTTCTTTGCAAGTAAGTCCAGTTTAATTTTCCCAAAACAATAACAAATGAGGAAATTTCCAAACATACATTTTTTGTTTGCTACTATTTTCAGAAACTTGAAGCAAATCAGACATACTTCTACCAAGTGTCTTGTGATTATGGACATGACGTCTTCAAAAGTGACATCTTTATGTTCAAGACCCTGTCTAAAGACAAGGTAAGATTTATGCAATTTTTTCTGTGTGAAAAAAATCAAAAGGGATTTCCAATAAGAAATGATGGGTGGCACTCATGGAATTGGAAACTCCTCCTATGGCGCATCCAATGTCACCCTTGAAATTTGTCGGGGATTTGTGTTACTCATTTAAGCATGCATTTACTAATCACCCAATCAGTAACCGCAGTACAAGAGGGTCTGGATGCCGATGGGGGTTTCTTTAATGTTTTATGCCATTTTTCTCTATTCTTTAAACGTTTTGCCCAATAAACTTTATATTTTATTAATTCATTATTCTGTATTCCTGGTTCATTATTTTCTATTCTTTATAAAATCTGTACATTATTCTCTATTCTGTAAACCCCATCCACACCCCCATACAAACTCGATTTCCTATATTTGGAATGAGTTGAAAAAAGAACATTCATAATTTGATTTTAGTTACATGGTAAAATATGTGATTGAGTTGTATATGCCTTATACAATTCTTTGTGATCATCTGAGTCATGGGGATTCAGGGGCAGAACCAGCCATTTTCAAAAGGGGTTGGGGGGGGGGGGGGGGGGGGGGGGTGTTCCTAACCAACGATAAAAAGGGGGAGGTCCAACCATATGTCCCCATTTAAATGCATTGATCGTCCAAAAAAAGGGAGTTCCAACCCCCGGAACTCATCCCCCGCCCTCGATCCGCCACTGGGATTTAAGACTAGAAAATATAAAATATATAGAAAAACGAAAATGTGCGACATACAGGAAGAAGACAACAGCTAACGTAATAAAACTTATAGTCCAAAAAACTTCTAGGGGTAAACATACAAACTTCAACAACAGTAAGACCATTTAATATCGCCTTTAAGCATTTTTTTCGATCATGCTATCATCATTAAATCTGATTAAATTTCGGAATAAGTTGTGATTTTTGGAAAATTAACAAATTTACAATTACTTTTCTAGGAACAAATGGTAAAACTTTTGGTGTATGGAGATATGGGATCGAAGTCAGGAAAGTTAACACTTCCGGCTTTACAAGATGAACTATCTACGGGGCAATATCAGGCGATATTCCATAATGGAGATTTTGGTTATGATCTTGACTCAAACGGAGGCTCAGTAAGTATGATATGTCGAAGATTCACGTGAACCATATGATATATTCATATATCGTTTTTATTATTCTTAATAGCCATTAGTGTTTTGTGTTACAGTACAAGTAATGAACCCGTTTTACTCTCAAATGCATGTGGGATCATCTAGAATCCCTGCAATATATTCACAATTCAGAAATTCTGTCACATTATACAGGAAGCCCATAGGTTTTTTACATTTTGACTTGTCAGGGCTTGCTATGCGGTATGTATTGTGCTCATTGTTGAAGGCCGTACTGTATTTATAAAGACCTTTTATAGCTGACTATAGGGTATTTGTTTTCTCATAGTTGAGGGCCATACGAGGACCAATAATTGCTCATTTCTCATTTATTTGGTCTCTAGCGGATGTTGTCTAATAGGCAATCATTTCGCCTCTCCTTATTTTTATGTTTACAAATGTATGGAGAGTTTCTCCATAGAACTTGAATATTTTATTAATGGTTTTCAGATTTATTTTTTACAGGCTAAGAGCTAGCCATATAAAACAAAGAGATATGGTATGAGACAATTAGATGTACAAGAGTTCAAATGAAGAAGTTAAAGGCAATTTGAGGTCACTGTACGTCCTTCAACAATGCGAAAAAAGATCAATGTTAGTCGTAAGATTTGTTTTGGTGAAAATAGCCTTTAACTTGGGACAGACACATAAAACATGTGCATGCATATTACTGTATCGATATTTTTCCAGAAGTTCTGTTAGAACGGATTGAAATATTTTTTTTATGATATATTTTGTTTTGTCTTCAATAGGTAGGAGATGATTTTCTCGATATGATTCAACCAATCGCAGCACAGTTTCCATACATGACGTCACCTGGTAACCATGGTACGTGCGTACTTGAAAATAGAGATAATTATGCACTTTTGATAACTTATTTACTAGGTTACTTAACTTTCATAATTTAAACGTACGATGACAATTTCACTGAATTCACAGGACACGTTTAATGATTAAGTAAAATTGCATGAGGTAAGCGTTTTTTTTGCGTGGATGACACGCTATTTGGAATGTGGGATATAGGCTAGGGGGTTAAAATGAAGAATGATGGTATAAAGGGGTTAACAAGCGGGATCATAAGGATTATTCCTGATTGTAACTCGTAACTTCTGTCCCATTCACCAACATGTCTGAATAATGTAAACCAACGTATTTTCGCGGATACTTTATTTCGCGTTTAGCACTGATTTTCAGCCGACTTCGCGGCGATTTACATTCGCAGTTTATTCATTTTCTTTGCGTCCACATTCGCCTGTTTTTCTGACTTTTCGTATAATATGTTAAGTGCTTATTTGTCAAAATATTTAATGTGTTTTATTGTATTTTGATATGTTATTTCTTTTTAAAAGAGCTGTCACATGACTTGCACCACTATAGATTAAGATTCTCAATGCCCGGGACACCTTGGCCGATGCCATTTGAGAAACTTTGGTACAGTTTCGATATTGGACCGGTGCATTTTATCAGGTGAGGATTTATTATAGTCTGATTAATTTAGAACACACGTTATGACTGGCTTTCAATAGGTGAAATAGATTAAGGGATGTTTGCTACTCTTAAAGTGTCTCTTGTTTTTGAATTTTTGCCAGATATTCGGAATCCTCTGGTTTTATCCATGTAGTGCCATTAACAATTTGCCAGATAATTTTCTTTCCATAATTTGGTTTTATACAGTTCAAAATTTCATCTTTAAAATATTTTATAAAATCCTTATTATTTTTTTATTGTTTTATATTGTAATATATTATACCTTGTTTTATGGAGAGGGCTTACATAGGCTATGTCTGTTGCCCAATCCAATTCAATTTATTTGAACAAAATACTGTTTAAACTAAACAATTCATTGTATTGCGATGGCAATGTGAACAACAGACTATACAAGATAGCAACACAGTTGATCTGAATGGAAATCGGAAAAACCCATTCTTTTTTAATCTGATGTCAGGCGCGTTTCTAGGATATTTGAAAGAGGGGGCGTATAATCCAATCTCGCGCCGAGTGGAGCGAGACGAAAATGTTTTTGGATGTTTTTTGCTAAAAAACATAAAATAATTGTGAAATGCACTTATGTAACGGGTTCAGGGTTTGACATTTTTTATGCCGAATTCTCTCCATTAATTGTCTATGGTATATTAAAATGATTGGATGGATCTTAACAACAGTAGACCAATAACGAGAAATTTCTAGGATGTAAGGCGTTTCTTAACATTTCAATAGTCCTAAGCCAGGATTTTATGAATGGGAGGAGTAATAACGGTTGCTGGCTGTTACGGTAATAGTAATGCATAACACAATTTCATTAGGCTTTTATGCTCTCACATTATACATGTTATAGTTCGTATTTATATGTTTATGTTGTTATAAAATTAAATGCTAATATAACCGTCAGTCATTGTGGACATTCTAACACAATTATACGGACTTGACTTTTAAGCGCGATGCATACCAATTTGTTAACTTTTTTTTTGGTTGGCGAATACGCTTTTATTCCTTCAATACCTCTAAGTTTTATTAAGTAATCATTTCAAATTAAAAGTCATACTGATATGGAACATTACTTGTATATATTTATCCCCTTTTTCAGTTTTTCATCAGAGGTTTACTTCATTCATAACCAGGATTTCACTTGTAAACAATATGATTGGTTGTTAGAAGATCTGACGATAGCTAATCAGAATAGGAAACAGACTCCATGGATTATTGCACTTGGACATCGACCTATGTATTGCACAAATAGTAACCTTGACGACTGTACGCCGCACTTTTGGGGACAATGGGTTAAAAGAGGGTAAGAACCATAGACATTCTCTATTTAAATTGAAATTTCAGAATCCTTTAACCTTTTAAATAACGATTACGAAATTACTGAATTTTATTGTTCAAGGCTTACCAATTTAACACAAATAACAAAAAAATATATTTGCCAACATTCAGATTTCTTCATAGAAAAAAAAAGATTATAATACTGCACAGTTCTAGATAAGCAGTGCATATCAATTTACAAACAAGCATACTCAATTAGATATTTGAAAAACTGTTACAGAAAAAAAAAATGAATTACGTTATCAATTGCATACGTCCGAAGCGCTTTTCGGGATTTACCTTCATCAGGGACGCGCTCAAAGCCGATTATTTGAAAGCCAAAGATGAATAAGGACCGAATACGTAAATAAGTAAATTTGCAAATATTTTAGGAAAATAAATTTATTGTATCTTCAGTGATGCGCGTGTCAAAGGTATTTAAAATCCTATGCAATTATGAGTAAAGGAAAGCTCACATAACAGACTTGCTTAATGTCCTTAATATGTTTCTTTTAACAAAACATTCATGTGAACGTGAATTCTAGATTAATTCATACCAATTCTGTATTGCAGACTTGAAGATTTGTTTTATGCTATGGGAGTTGACCTTGTGATAGAAGCTCACGAGCATTCCTACGAGCGTTTATGGCCTGTGTATCACTCTGACGTCATTCAACATAGCTATTTACATCCACGTGCTCCTGTTCATATAATTTCCGGTGCTGGTGGAAATTTGGAAGGAGTAGACTTGACGGGATTTTCAAGTATGTTTTATTACAAATTCATTATTATTCGTTGGAATCCAATTTTCGTGGATTTTGTAGGAACATTTGAAATACGAATTCAAATGTTCAAAAATTACAAACTTTCTATATGAATAAAATTATAAAGATTCTAGGAAGACAACAAAATCAAAGATCTACAAAATTAAAATCCACGAAAAAGAAAAAAAATAATTTCTATGTATAAATTGAAAGTAATTATACATAACTTAGGGTTTACATTGTACATAACTGTCCGTGAATTGGTTTTGACGATAGCTTTTGACAGTCAGTTACATGCCAATTCTGACTTGAATATAAACTCATCATAGAAAAACCCATCACAGATACCAGCATCAAAATTGTGTACGTCGGACGGGCGTTTCGTCCATGCAGGACTCGCCAGTGACGCTCAACTAAAAAAGTTAAAAGGCCAAATAAAGCACGAAGTTGATGAGTGTTGAGAACCCAAAATGCCGAAAGACTTTTTTTGCTTCGGCTAGAAAGTTCTTCGTATTTCATAGAATTTAAAGTTTAGTAAAATGATAATTTATAATTATGAACATATGTACCTGCATTTTTTTTGCTGTACAATTATCTAATACATGTATGTATATCGGTGATTTGTTCATAAAAAATATCTTCACACACTATCAAGCTAGATGTCATTTTTTAAAAGAGGGATCCATGCACTCGTTGTCAAGCTTATTTGTTTTTGTATATGAATTCGGCCGTTTGTGTTCTCGTTTGAATTGTTTTACAATTGTCATTTCGGGGCCTTTGATAGCGGACCATGCGGTATGGGCTTTGCTCAATTTTAAAGACCGTACGGTGACCTATAGTTGTTAATTTCTGTGTCATTTGGTCTCTTGTGAAGTGTTATCTCATTGTCAATCATACCACATCTTCTTTTTTTATACTTATCTAATATTACAAATTTATTATATGAATATAATTATGGAGAATCTGGGAAAATGATCCACAAAATTGAAATCCACGAATAAAGGATGAATTCACAGTATTTCGATGTATAAATTGAATGTAATTATATATAAAGTAAGGTTTACAATGTACATATCTGTCCGTGAATTGGTTTTGACGATAGCATTTGACAGTCAGTTACATGCCAATTCTGACTTGAATATAAACTCATCATAGAAAAAGCCATCACATATGCCAGAATCAAAATTGTGTACGTCAGACGGGCGAATCGTCTATAAAAGACTCATCAGAGAAGCTCAACTAAAAAAGTTGAAATGCCAAATAGAGAACGAAGTTTAAGTGTGTTGAGGACCACAAATTCCAAAAGGTTACTTTTCCTTGGGTTTGAAAGTCCTTCGTATTTCCAAGCCCTTCAAGTTTTGTAAAATAATGATTTAGCATTATGACCTTATATAGCCGAATATGCGGTATGGGCTATGTTTCATGTTGAAGGCCGTACGGTGACCTTTAGTTATAAAATTTCTGTGTCATTTGGTCTCTTGTGAAGAGTTGTCTTATTGGCAATCACACCACATCTTCATTTTTATACTTACTATGACAATTCTTGTTAACACAGAAGTGCTGACTTCGGGGCTGGTAATTCCCTCTGGGAGGAAACTCTAACAAAGTTTTTGATGGACATGCAACGTACTCTGAAGTGGTCTATTATTGTTTATAAAATTATGCATAGACATATAACAACTGATTAGTAATAGCGATTGGAATTTGTTAGATAGTTGTCTCATCGGTAATCGTACCACATGTCATAACACATGTATTTGTTTTACAAAAAAAACATAACAAGAGGAAAATGCATAAACTCCAAAAACGGAGCTAGGCCGAAGGTGTCGACATCGTCGGAGTAATCATCTTCTTCGTGTCCATCATTTGTCACACGATTATATATTGAAACATAAATGAAACAATATGAATAGAAAATCTAAAACATGTTTTTCATTTTTTTTAGGTCCCTGGTCTGCATTCAGAGCTGGCAGAAGGAGTAAAAATTCTTACGGAAGACTTTCTGTTGTAAATAAAACACATTTACATTTTGATCAAATAAGTGCTATAACCAAAGATGTTTTGGATCAATTTTGGATCGTGCAAGAACATCATGGTCCATTCTTACAAAATATTGATTGTAAGAATAGCACCGTTTTCCCGGAATTCTGTACTTGTCCATTGCCGATCCGTTTTGTTACTTTGCTGATTTTGTTCACGTCGGGAATTGTCATTGTCATAGTTCTATCCCTTATGTTCTGTTGTTATTCATGTAGATGTTGTTACTTCTGTCTCAACAACATTCGCACATGCGCACATGTATCCGGAAACTGGATGAATCGCAGACGACAATACCGACATCAACCATTACAGCATAATACCGATATCGAGGACGATTTTCTTGTTTATCAACCGACAGAAAGCATCGATTCTTTTGATATGTTAGTGCACTGAAATTAGTGAAAGCTAAATGTCAGATGAAGGTCATATTAGCACACGTGATGGCACGTGCTTTGCCTTAATGGTTGAACAGAACAATACACGAGGAGATTGGAATATATCAATGACTGGATCGAAAAGTGGATTTCAGAAGTAGTATGATATATTATTACTTATAACTGGATGTTGTCTTTTGCACACCTCAATGTGTGATCTTTATGCTCGTATGTCATTCCTGAAAAGTGTGGTTTGCCGTATCGTTGCAGAAAGAGAAATATACATCTTGGTCTGTGGTTGTCACATTTCTGAAACATTTTGGTGCATAGGTGTCTTTATTAGACAAAAAATATATTAAGAGTGTATTTTGATACAACATAGTTCTATTCGGGAAACGAGAATTGTACCCAGTGGCGCATGTTCTCCAATAAATTAATGTTATCAATGTGCTTCTTTGTACGTACATGTAGTGTTTCGTACATTATTTTTTGTATTCGTATGTATTGCATTGTAAACCATTTTTTTACAAATGGGAAATGTGTATCCCCTGTATACCATTCCCGAACAAATTATACATGTTTCTAGCTGTCATGATTAGCATGTTAGTGCCAAAAACGTCTGATGTAGGCGTTATATCATATTCAAATAAATGTTGAAAAGAACCGTTTAGGTTTTTTGGATAATAAATAAAACATTGAAGAAACCAGTGATGAATGCTCTAGGAGCCACTATTTATATACAAGGTGATAGGACGTGTCGCGGGAATAGGTAGCATTCTCCAGCATGAAAATATGTGTATAGGTGGGGAAAACTACCAATAATATATGATAAGGGCAATAAAGTTCAAGTTACTTGTATATGAAAGTCCCTAATCAAATGGCAAAATCAAAAGCTCAAACACATCAAACGAATGGACAACAACTGTCATATTCCTGACTTGGTACAGGCATTTTCTATGTAGAAAATGGTGGATTGAACCTGGTTTTATAGCTAGCTAAACCTTTCACTTGTATGACAGTCGCATCAAATGCCATTATATTGACAACGATGCGTGAACAAAACAAACAGACATAATAGGTAAAAATGTCAAAAATAGGGATACAGCAGTCAACATTGTGTTATAATCTAATTCACTAAAAATCAAACAAACCTGCAACACCGAAGCACAAAATGGTATATAGACCAATCATATTAGCAAAAATTAAGACAAGAATACACAAATTTAACATAGTACAAAAACACAATGACGGGATGTATAAGTACAGAGCCACGTCATATATGTATCAAAGAAACATAAAAAAAAGGCATATAGACAAAGCATACAAACATGTTTTACAATAGCACAGAGCCACGCTATATGTATCGAAGTAACACCAAAAGGCATCTTAAAGAATTTAGCATTAAATATTTCACTTTTCCAACACACCACGAAAAACCCAACCTCAACCCAACCAATATAAGAAAAGGTTAAATTTTAAACCTACACAATATATGAAAAGGTATACATTTTGAAGATCTAAATGATATTAAATGGGTTGGATAACAGAACCCAAGCGACACCCCTATCAATAAAGTATAGAAGTGCCCCCCCACCCTCGGATGAATGTTTTACATCTTATCATTCAATTTATGTTTGAAGAAGGGCTAAATACAATTTGGAACCAAAATCTCGAAATTGTTGCGAAATCGTCCTGAATCTTATGTTTTCAATACTAGTAAAGTAAAAAAAAAAAAAAAAAAAAAAGAAAGAAAGAAAAGAAGCTGCAAATACCAAATATGCCCTCAATGATTAATGCATCTTTTTTTAAAATAAATAAAATATGCATTTATGACACAGTACAATCACTGAAGAGCTTCCTGACTGATTCTATCGACAGGCATTTGAACATGATATGTATTGAAGCTATTATTTTGCGTCAATCAATGAGACGACATCCAAACGACTGAAACAATCAAACATTTATCTTGAATGCAACATACAACTTTGAAAAAAATAATCTCCAAATAGTCCCGCATCTGAAAACAGGGTTAAAAATAAAGTTAAAAAAAAAGTCATAAAACGTCCACCAACATCTGCCCTCAAGCATCCTCTTTTCTAAATATATGACTCAAGACAACCGCTGACGAGCTTCCTGACTTATGAGCTTGTTAGAAAGCATAATAATTTAACTTCCCTTTCCGCTGTATTGATCATGTCTTCTCACTAAATAATTCAAAGTTTGATGACTTTTTGAACTCATCTATCCCACCGAACTTGAAATAAAGGATACAAAGGATACAGATAAATCTGCCTCATATCTTGACCTACAATTCTAAGTGACAATAAGGGTGGGCTAAGGACAAAACTTTAGGACAAAAGAGATGATTTCAGCTACGTAATTGTGAATTTTCAAATTTCTATGTAGCAACATTTTATTAGCACCTATATACGGAAGAGAGGGGCGAAAGATACCAGAGGGACAGTCAAACTCATAGATCGAAAATAAACTGACAACGCCATGGCTAAAAAAGAAAAAGACAAACAGACAAATAATAGTACACAAGAAACAACATAGAAAACTAAAGACTAAGCAACACGAACCCCACCAAAAAATGGGGGTGATCTCAGGTGCTCCAGAAGGGTAAGCAGATCCTGCTCCACATGTGGCACCCGTCGTGTTGCTCACGGAGTATATTTCACCCAGGTGAAACGATATTCCAGAGCTTGCAACCTATCATGATTTCCTTCATAATGTGTTGCTGTTACAAGGAGTTATTCAACGAAGAGTTCCAAGTGGTGAAGTTGACATCATTTTTTTCCGAAAATTTTACGAACGCCATCACGAGTTTGTTGACCGTTATTGAATATCTATTTCACAGATCTCGACGAATATGTTCCAAATGTTTTTACCACAATCTCGTCCACTTTTCCTCGAATTTGACGTGCCAAATAAGACATCATTGGGTTTGTACTTACATGAGCAGCACCACGGGTGTCATGTGTGGAGCTTACCCTTCCAGTGAACCTGTGATCACCCCAATATTTTATTGGTAATTATGTTGCTCAATCTATGCTGTTTTGTGTACTGTTGCTTGTATTTTCGTCGTCTTTTGTTTTTGACTTTCAATATCCTTTGGTATCTTTCGCCTCTCTTATATGCATATAAACATGGTACGAGTTTAAACTATTATTTTCTAACCTCAACCATCCAATTTTTAATTTAAATGGACAAACTAAATGTATATACAAAAATGAACCAACACAAAACAGTGCAAGGAAAAATTCAACCAAACAACGTCATACACGACACGATAATGTGTATTGCCAATTTACAGAATTTCAAGGCAGAGAAAACACATGAAATATTCCTGTAATGCATCAAAATAAAGATAAGTGAACTGGTGTTTATTAAAAAAAAACCAGACGCAGTAGCTGAACAACACCTTCATCAATAAAAACTTTAAACGAAAGAGAGAAAGTTACTAGTATATAGTGCAAACTAACGATCACGGAATTCACAACAAAACTGAATTAAAGTCTAACCCTAAATCATTTACGTAAAAGTAGATTTTTTAAAATCATAGTACGTCTCCTTTGGTATTAACATAAAAAAGACGATGGAACTTCAAATTTCCCGTCCGTATATATACCTTTACTAAACAAAAATACTTCCGGCGGCATCTGAGAACACCCCTAGTTTTGTTAAAATTGTTTTTGGGTTGCTCTTAGTTTTCAGTGTGGTACTTTGTGTTGAGTTTTTTTGATTATGTGTGTGTTATTTCCTTTCGGTAACATTCATGTATATCGTTTGTCTTGTAAAAAGAGTTTGATAAAAAAAATGCCATGGACGACATATACATCGTCTTAACCTTTGAAATTTATCAATGACCTGAGGAATATTAAATGTGTATTAATGTTCATTAATTAAAGTTTATGTTAGTGTTTATTTCCTTGCAGATGCCATTTGTTTACTTTTATCACTTCATCTTGACTTATTTATGGAAGTCTGGGAATTGTCTGACCGCAAATCAACATAGTCTTCGTATCACTTTTTCGTGCAGTGTGATACGAGAAATATCTCTTCATGCAAAAAATGGATATCAGGCCGCAACCATAAGAGAAAACTTATTAACGTATTCTGTAGGAGACACACGACGGGTATCACATGTGGAGCTGAATCTACTAATCTTTTTAGAGCTTATGACAACACTTCCGGTTCGTAGTGTTCTATGTTGTGTTTTGCAGACTGTACATATTTGCGTCGTACATCTGTTTATTTTTCCATGGCGTTGTTAGTTTGTCTTCGATTTATGGAGGTTCGCTACTCAGTTTCAAAATAACAAGCTTTTCATAACACGAGTATATATTGATAGCGGATTATTAAAGGAACCAAAAGAGCAAAAAAAAAATATAGGTCAATGTCCTTGTCTTCCAGATATTAGTCATTGAAATTTTGGCGGGAAAATGTTCTCTCTTGATTTTTCATAGCTTTATCATTGACATTAAGTTGTCAAAAACTATTAAAAAATAACAAGGATTTTAAAATACTTTTACAGAAGACTTATAATTATACATGTAACAGATTTATAAAAAGAAAATGGGGGTCAATGGGCAAAATTTTTTAAGGCATTCAAATGGATAAAACCAGAGGATTCCGAGAATCTGACAAAAATTCCAAAACATGACAAGCGAACATCCTTATGAGTTTGAATATTCCTTTTGTATCTTCCGCCTCTCATTTATATTGAACGATGTATATCCGGGTCATCAAGATAAAACATATTTCTCAATAAAGTTTTTACTACCACTATTTCTACAGTAAAACAAGGCCTTCTGAAATATAATTATTGCAAAGATGGTTTATCAAATTCAGCGGTTTCAATCAGATGCGGATTCGTAAAAATTCAAGAGATCAACGGCAAAATCTTTTATCACAATCTTAGCAATTTACCAGTAACTTTTGACAGTTTATTCACAACTATATTGCTGGTTTGGTTTATTGCTAAACACATCGAAGGACATCAGTTAAAAATGTTAATCTAGCATGTTCTAATGACATATGAGCTGCGTCGGATAGAAATCGACCTTATGCAAAGGAATATCAATACACCTGTTAGTCTATTTTGGGTTGAAAAAATCTCTATGCAATATCTGTGACTGTTTGAAAATTGAGTTGATATAAGAACCCCACAAAACAGACCAAAATTCCTCTTTTATTTCGTATTTGAATGTTTCAAAATCAATCAATGTCTTTTACATGTACATGAATATATGCACTTGCAAAAGGTCGATTTCCATACCCAACTATATCAGTCCTATTCAGGACCGATAACTCTGTCGATAAATATTGTCAAGTATACAATGTTGTTGAAATCAGAGCAATTGTATTATATGTCTCTGTTGAAATGTATACAATAATAAAATTTTTTACACAAGTTTAACTTTATATCGATTTATTGAATGCCTGGATTTTGCTTAAAATATTGAATTAAAAAAATAAATAATAAAATCATATTCAATGAAATCTCGTTTAATTTTTTACGAAATAATACAAAATCCATTTAAATTAAAATTTGAATCAAAATATTTTTTTAAAATAATTATAGAAACATAAATATTAGTTTGATTATCTTTTAAAGCAAAAATTATTTTTTTAAAGATTTTTTTTTATAATATTCATATTTTCTTTAAGTTTATTATGATACATACTTCTTCTGGTTTGACACGGGGAAGAGAAGATATTTATTTGTACAGTTATGAAAACTTTTGTATATTACAAAATTTAAACTCTGGTAATACATGTATACACAGGATGTTTAATGTCACCTGGTTGCTTTTGGTTTGCACGTCTACCTGACAATATATTGTTATGTAACATTACATCCAAAGTCAGAGTTCACCTGTTCGTCAAGTGATGGGATTTTGAAGGTATGGAATATTTATCTATAATAATTGTTGGGATTTTTTTCTCTCTTGGGACGTAAATATTTTTTTGTTCTAAAAGGAATGTATAAATATATTTCTAAAGAAAGATAAATTTTACAGAAAACAGGAAAAAAACCTTTTAAAAAAAGAAGAGAAAAAATTTTATTATAAATTTTATTGTTAACTATTTTCTGGTAACCGTATATCCTGGATATCTGTCAAAATAAAATTTTCCCGTGTCACACTTGAGATAATATTTTTTTATTTAAATCAATAAATTTTGAAATCAATCATATCGAAATATCACCAAAGAAAATAACAGAAACATCAGAGATTCTACATGAAAATTAAATTAAATCAAGGAAAGTCTTACTATACAAATCCTCGATTTGATGCAAAATTTCCATATACATCATCCGCCATTTTGAAAAATCCCGAAATATTCACTTTTTTAAATCGATTTTTGACCGAAATTGCCCAGAAATTAAACTGTTTTAAATAGTATTTTTCGCCAGATATATGTTTGAATATACTTAATCGAGTTGCAAAGTTTTATTTTTATTAACGGAATTTCTTTATTTGTTATACAAGTAGACATGGGTATCGGTAATTTAGCATTGAGTCAACGGAGAAATAACGAGAAAAAGTACATGTTTTTACGATTCTCCAGTGACAGAATTTAATCAAAAATTAAACTGTTAGGACCAACATTGTTTGATAGAAATATGTTTGAATATCAAGGATTGATTTGCAAAAGTTAGAAAACGGGTCAGGTTCATGAGAAAACTCAACTTTATTGAAGCACCTATGCATTTTATATGGGGCAATATAATACAAAATGGCGGCTAGTATACGTCACAAAAGTCACGTGATGTCTGACTTAGTTGGATATGTTTCCGACGTAGCTCATATGTTAAAATAGGGGATGGCAGCGAGTACTCGAGTGCAAAATTATATTCTCGGAAAATTTACCATAAGGGAATAGTATTTTCATTACTTTACATCGTTTGAAATTCACGTATTGCATTACGTGTGTAAATTGACGATCGGGTTTACCAGAAAAAGTCGTTTCTTATTATATATATGTATTTTCATATCGTTTATTCCAATTATAATTAACCGTCGTAGTCGAGACTGTCATCTAAACATCTTTCGGAAATAGGACGCAATGAGATCTCCATGTAATGAACCTAACTGTTTCCCCAAATGTGACGTACAGAATAAGAATCGCCGGATTTGTACTTACATTAGAAACACATATGAAGCAGGATCTGCTTACCCTTGCGGAACATACGAGATCAGCCAGGTGATATGTGCGGTTAGTAATGCTCAATCTTTAGTTTTCTTTGTAGTGTTTTCTGTACTTTTTGTCTTTTCGTCGTCCTTTGTTTTTTGCCATGGAATTGTTTGTTTGTTTTCGACTTATGAGTATGAATATGCCTGTGGTATCTTTCGCATGTCTTTCATACGACTGCATGATCATTAGATCAATACCAATGTTTTCAATAGTAAAATTTAGCGAAAAACTATTTATAAAAAAAGACAATTAAAAATTATGTCATTATGTCAACAATGAAAAATATTGCGAAAATCCGTTAAATGAAAAAAAAAACAAAAAAAAAAAACACTTAGTATTTAAAAATATGTGGTTGTTTTTTTATTATCAGTAAAGTTTTTTGTAAAAAGTATTTCAGCGTAAAACTAAAAGTAAGGTGAACGAATTTTTAAACTTTTGAAAAGGCGTGTAGATTTATTTGTTAACGATTTAAAAGGATTTACATCTTTACATAGAGCATGCTATTATGGACATACAGAACTTTTGAAAGCGTTTGACCATATTTTTTGTTGGATCGACTATGTTAGTCGTCACTCAACTAGTGGTCCACACGTTCCTAATTGGCAATCATACCACATCTCCTTATTTTCATATTATTAGTTGAATACGGACGTTCGTGATTTTACTGTTACACCAACACGATCACTAGAACAAACAGGTGACAGAGCCTAAAAGAACCATTCTTTCCGTCGCTGTTTATTTTCATATCAATAAAATTTGAAACTAAATTCATGCAGATATTATATTTCATGACTCGGAATACTTTTTAGGTACATAAATAATCACACATGGTTTCCATTTCTGTGTGGCGTGGTTTTACGCGCGACGGTAACCTATTGGACGACGAACCAAACACTTTAAAGACATTTTCTTGTTCAAAAGCGTAAACCTGTGATTCCTGATATTTTCCTGAGGTTCATTTTTATTATTTATTTGATGGAAGTTTGCTATTTTGAAGGAAATCATTGAACTAAGGGTCCCAAGTGGTACAATAGGAATCCCTTTATAATCTCACCGATTCCTTCAACAGTTTGTTCACCCTTATACGATGTCTGTGTCACAGATGACACCAGACATGTTCTAATTATTGTTATCCCAGTGTTGTTTTTTTTCTTTGATTTTAGGAGGCCTTTATGGCCGAGGTGTCCAAGAAGTCGAACAACTGTACCACTATCTCGTCATCCCTCAGGTTGTGAGTTCGAATCCCGCACGTGGCAGGTGCGCTCGACTCAAATCTTAATTGACTAGGATTTTCAGTATTCCTAAGGTCTGTGGTTCTCTCCGGTCACTTCGGCTTTCTCTGCCAATTAAACATATAAGAGTGCTGAAAGTTGCCTTCAACACTAATAACTCAATCAATCTTGACATCGCTGAATTGACTTATCTTCAAATTATTACATGTACGACGGTTGTCACTTGTGGAGAACAACCTGCTTACTATTTCTGGGCATCTGAGATCACCCCGAGCTTTAATGGGATTGGTGTTGTTCCGTCGGTAGTTTCAATGTAGTGTTTATTAGACTGTTGTTTTTAATTTTTTCGTTTGTCTTTTTTTATTTTTAAAATTTTTATACTCCATATGGCTTTGATCATATTTACTGCGTTCTAATCATACGACTAAAAAGCCAATAAATGAATTAATGTTCTCCTTCGCTATGCTCATACGAACATAAAGATTGTCTTAATAATGAGTAAATAAAACAAAAAGCAATGTGAGATGAGAAATTGCACTGATCAAAACAAAGGAAGGTAGGATCTTCTAATCACAAAATTATAATCTCAGATTTTAAGAAATTTTAAGTCTATTTTCTAAATTTTCTTTAATGTAACCATCTTTAGCCTTGTCTGTCTTCCATCTACCGTGAGCTTTCAAAAGCCTGTCCGGAACAGAATTCCCAGCAGCTGCTGTAGCACCCCCGCTCCTTAAACTATGTAGGCCAAATAGAGATATATTTAGACCTATGTCAGAAAGTGCATCTAAAACAATTTCCCTAGTTCGAGTGTAAAATAAAGGCCTATTCTTGCAGACTAGTTTGTGCTTATCAATAGACTTGAAGTGCGACAAAGCTCTAAAGATGTATTCGTCGCTTCCAACGGGCAAACTTGCCACGCGAAAATATTTCTGTAGCATAGAAACTGGACAAAGGTCTGTGCCAGTTCTAGAAATTAAAATAATGTTACCCTGTCGATATCTATCCGTCTTACTTCTTTGAATGTTAATTTGTAGATGAGAATCGTTGAACGTTGAATCAGAAGATCGGATGTGTGCCAACTCATCGTATCTTAGAAACCCGGAAAAACCTAACAGCATCATAGCACAGATCCTCAACCCTAGCAAATTGTCATTGTTGTCGAATTTTGCAATAATACTCTTCAAAATCGCAGGGGTGATGGGTTCTTTCCTTTTCAAAGGTTTAGATAACAATCTTATGCCATCTTCTAGTACCATGTCTAGTAATTTGTCATTTAATATACTGTCGTATAAATAAAGATCGTGTTCCCACTTAAATGAATAATACGCTGAGTTTAAAACGGAAGTGGAAACTCCAGATTGAATCAAGTAGTTAAGATAAATAGCAACAGGATAAACGGTGGTAGGCAAAAACGGCAGATTGTACTTTAAGCACCAGTATTTGAATCTTTTAAAGTATCAATTATATTTCTTCAAAGTATTCTAATTTTTTGAAACAGTAACTACTGAAGATAAAGAAACTGTTAGAGCTTTCAAGTCAGGATTTGAAAAATGCTTAAAGGATTCCCAATGCGAATGTTTGAATCTAAATGTTTCATCACTTTGCTCCTGAAGAACCACTGGTCTCGGCTGGTAGTGATAGGCCCAGTGACCCTCGCCATTGCAGTAGTAACACCTCTCTGTTGGTTGTGAACTGGTAAAAGATACCGGTGCGAGGTCCTGTGCGGGTTTGTGCTCCTTGTCCAGTCGGGTATTTGTAGTTTCTAGGTGCTTCGCTTGTAGATGTTGATGAAGTTTTACGAAAAGGCTCATCATGAGTCACTAATGGAGCCCTCTCAGGTTCTGGAATATAAGGAGCAGAACGGGTCCTTACTCTGTCTCGTCTCTTTGCTTTAGCCCGGTAGTCGGCTTGTCGTAACTTAGTTGCGTCTTCGGCCCCCTCTGTAATTGGATCGTCTATATATTTGTCCACGACGTCCCAACCGTATTTGTCGGCTATTCGTAGAATTTTATTTCTTTCCTTCAGGGCTTTTTTTTCTAGACAATGAATGGCTAAAGCCGGAGAGTCTTTCTCTATGAAATTAAGGGTCTTTTCAAGTTCTACTAGACGTTCTCCGTTAAAACTAAATTCTCTTTCATTAGCGTCGTACCTGAATTTAGGAGTCTGTTTTACCGGAGGAAAAATTCAACTTCTTTAGCACCAATTCTCGTGTCAATCTCCTTGAATAGCTCTTCTTTGTGCTTTTTCAATGTCAAATCAAGGCTCTGGGTAAACAGCGATAATGCATCTTCAGGTGAAAAGTAGACCCTTCACGTTCTTCACTGCGTTCAATTCGTATAGGAGATTCCGGTTCAGGTTCACTCATTATAACAAGGTCAGTATACGTGTCGATCTGATCAGTAATTTTTTCTCGACAAGAGAAAAAGTGCGAAATCGAAAGATATATATGTGTGAAAACCGAATTACCGAATCTAACCCATGCACATATTTATACGCCAAATTAAGAAATGAATGAAGGTCAGTCATGTACAGTATGACTAAAGTAGACTACAAACAACTTTGACGTGAAAAGCTCATTTCGACTCTTTTGACAAAGTGAAATTAAAACGTTCAACATCTTTTATATTTATTCTAAAATATTTCTAGCTTCAAATATTTGATGAACATAAATTACTCTAAATTGAAGTTAAATACACAACATAGAACCCCAAAAGATGCAAGTACATGTACATGTTTTTTCCAGACTTCATACTTGTCAATTTTGATTAAATCATTTTCAATACACATATCCATTATAGATCGAAGAGCAAAAATATCACTACACAACGTATGAGCATCGCAGTTCTGAAATGTGTTATTGAAGCAAACCATGGTGCATTTGTCTAAAATGTTACAAAACATGCCAGTTGGAATACTATCTCCATTGTCCCTTACGATAAAACCTAAATTGTCCAAAGAAGTGTTCCATGGTAACGTCAGCATTCTGTGTGTAATCAATAGCTGTAAAAGTTTCTCTTGTTTTACATGATATTTCTTCATGAGATTTTTATTAAATCTCATTTCTTCTTGTTTTACGGAGCGACTCTTTATTAACTTTGTTGGACTGTCCTGTAGGTTTGGAAGAATACCAGCTTTCTTTAACCGAATTAAAGCTGGTTTATTCCTTTGATCAAGTGTATATGGATTGGTGTTGTTTTCCCTTATAGTACTCGTTTTTATTAAATCATCTATAATATCCGCTCCCATTACAATGTTCAAAGATTTGCATTTTGATGATAATAGCTGCTTTATATATTCTTTTTCTAGTCCCTTTATCTTAAATGTTGGTCTGCAATCCGGTTCGTCCTGATTTCTACCTATGATAAAACAACATACATGCATGAATATAGACTGAGTTTGACATTGTACATATACATTTATTATATTTAACCGAATTTTCGACGATTTGGGGATGTACGGCGGGCGGGCGGGCGGGCGGCAGCCAAATGTTTTCCGTGCATTAACTCATGAACCGTTAAACCAAAGCTTTTAAAATTTTAATATGTTGTTACTGATAACAAAATGGAGGTCAAGATCAATAATGACGATTTTGACTTTTACCGTTCAGGAGTAATGGTTCTTGAAAGATTGAAAAATGGCGTTTCCAGTCGTGTCCGTGCATTTACTCATGAAGCGTTCAACCAAAGCTTTTCAAATTTAGATATGTTGTTACTGATGACAAAATGGAGGTCAAGTTCAATAAGGCGATTTTCACGTTCCCTTTTCAGGAGTTTTGGTTCTTGAAAGATTGAAAAATGGCGTTTCCAGTCATGTCGTTGCATTTACTCATAAACCATTCAACAAAAGCTTTTCAAATTTTAATATGTTGTTACTGATGACTAAATTGAGGTCAAGTTTAATATTATCAATTTTTACTTTCACAGTTCAGGAGTTACGGTTCTTGAAAGATTGAAAAATTGTGTTTCCAGTCGTGTGCGTGCGTTAACTCATGAACCGTTCAACCAAAGCTTATCAAGTTTTAATATGTTTCACTTTCACCGTTCGCGGGTACTTGAAAGATTGAAAAGTGTTTCCAGTATTATTGGCAGTTTATACAACAGACAATGGGATTCATTGACTTTAGAAGCATTATATGATGGATAAAGGTAATATTATTTTTCGTGTCCGGGCATTTACTCATGAACCGTTCAACCAAAGCTTTTCAAATATTAATATGTTGTAAATAATGACAAATTGGAGGTCAAGTTCGATGTCAAAATGGAGGTCAAGTTCGATATTGACGATTTTCACTTTCACCGTTCAGGAGTTATGGTTCTTGAAAGATTGAAAAATGGTGTTTCCAGTCGTTTCAGTGCTCTAACTCATGAACCTTTCAACCAAAGCTTTTCAAATTTGAATATGTTGTAACTGATGACAAAATATAGGTCAAGTTCAATATTGATGATTGTCACTTTTACCGTTAAGGAGTTACGGTCCTTGTGATATTGAAAAATGCCAGGACACAAATAAATGTTAAAAAATCCTGTTTGCTGTCGCTCTGACAACCTCTTGTTTTATTCTGGATTAAAATCAGTATACGTGCCCACTTCAAACGCCAAAAGGTGTCAGCTCAGATGTACTGACTGTTGTTTATATAAGATCATATAACACTCAATAATGAAGTAGAAGAGAAAAAAATAACATAGATCAATAAATATAAAATACAAGGTCACAAGCTCTATTTTTCCAGTTGCAGACTTGTATATGACAACTGAAATAACACAAAAAGTGTGATACACCAATTGCTAATATTGAACCTTTTCTATTTGTCATTTTATTTTTCTTTGTTGACATATTTGTTATGTGTGTATAGTGATTAAGATTAGAACACAATGTTTACTTATCATGTCTGTATGTTTTGTTCACACATTGTTGTCATTACAATTTAATTTTAGGCGAATGTCATGCAAGTGAGAGGTATAGCTAGCTATTAAACTATTATCGTTTGTAATTGTTCAACTTAATTCTGAATTCGGTTACAATTATGAAAGAACATTTTCATATTACGCATGTCCTATTTATATTTTGGTAATATATTTTTAGTCCAAATTCTACAAATTCGACAATAATGAGAAAAGAAAACGGTTATTTAGCAAGGCACAAATAAAGCATATAATCACAACAATGCAACACATACAATAGACATTCAGTGTTACCACGTGATTTTATTACTTTCGAAGAATCACAAAATTTTCAAAAGATTTGTAAGCCCCCGCGGCAAAACAGAAGGCCACAGCATAATATTATAACCAAACAATTCTACTTAGAAAAGGAAATACCATTGACTAACATATTATGGGAGGGGGACAGGCGCAGAACATATTTAGCGGGGTTTTCACTAACTCAATCCAATATAACCCTCCCCCTAATGTTTGGTCAAAGATGAATGATAAGACCATAGGGAGGCGTTGTAAAACTAAATAAGAGTAGAAAATGATAGCGTTGATATATAAAAGAGAAAATCTAGAAAGAAAAAAACTAATTCGGGGACATGGCATTTTCTGATAAAAAACCAAAGTTATATAAGAAAACGAGGTCCCCGTGTGACTTCGAATAAGGCAAATGATCTGATACTGGCTTCATATATGTACAAAAGACAGGAAGAAACCAAAAGGATATCTAATCTCATATGTCAAAAGCAAACTGAAAATCCCATGCCAAAAAAAAAAGAAGAAGAAAAACGACATAAAAAGAAAAACAACAGTACACAAATTACAACGTAGAAAACTAAATATTAAGCAAAACGAACATTACCAAAAGCCGGGATTTATTTGAGGTGCTTTGAAAGGATAAACAGATCTAGTTTCCCGTAAATTTTGGGAATGAAAAATGTATCAAAACAAAGCAACAAGGTGTCATGTAATTTGGGAAAATGATAACTTTAAACGGGTAATTATATTCAACACGTGTAATGAATATCTGTTGAGAAACAAAACCTATGCAATGTCCTCAAGTTAGTGTGTTTGGCGCGTAACGTAACTCCGTAAATTTTTTGTTAGGGGATAATACAATGTACAGTCATACAAAGGCATTCCAAAAAAAGGATGTTTATTGCTATTTGACAGGCGGTGCGGTTTTCCATGAAAAACACGTACATTTTATTATTTATAATCCTATAACTAAAGCCAAAATGGATTCGGATGTGAATTGATTGCAATGCGTTTTTTCTTGGAGGTTTATATAATCAAATGTGAAATAGTACATGTATACATAAATTAGGCATTATATGAAAGAAAAGTCAATACATAGGTGATTTTTTTAAATCTAGTGAAGGGAACTCTCTTTTGCTTTTTTTAAGTTTCTGATATGAACGTGATGACATTGCAGAGTTAATGAACTCTATTTGGTGAAAAATCGTCGAAATATTTCGATTGAGGAGGGGTGTATTTGAGCAGAGCTCACATTATTTCCAGTTGATCATATCAATTCATGTAAAGCATACATACGATCTTAGAGGACAACGAGCTTATAACGCACTCATGGCGCAGATCTTAATAATATTTGACATGACTCTTCCATTTCACCTGGTAACTGTAGGTGTCACTAGTCGATTTCGAGAGCTGTCTTTAATGCCAGGTAAACTGACATTGTAATGACGTTATGATTCTTGAAACTTTCAATAATTTACATTGAAAGAAAGTTTACCCATTAAGTAATCACAACAAAACAGGCAGTTGACATATAAGGAGCAGGAACTTATTACCCTTCTGGGGCATGCGTTCCACTTGTTATATATTTTCTTGGCTTGATGAGTTGCTGGATGCTAAAGCTGTATAAATTTGAGAATGGAAATGGGGAATATGTCAAAGAGACAACAACCCGGCCAACGATCAGATAACAGGGCCTTAAATCAGTCGTCAAACTGATATAAACTGATAGTAATGCAACTTTATAGAAAATATCATTGACCTAACCCTAGGAGTTGCTATCTAATTAACTTAAGCATAAAACATGTAAAACTTAACATTGAATATAACTTTAATGTCACAGGACCATGACATAGGATAGGACTCGAATCAAATATAATAATCAAAATAAGCAGTTCCTATCAAACTAACTTAAGCAGACAACTTAACAATTGTTGATGCCGTCTTCGTCATCATCGTTATTTTTCGTCGCCGGAAAAGCAACCTTCGTCGCAGGCGAGGCAAAAACTGAAATTCACTGAGTCCATAAGTCAATAAAATAAAATATTAACCGCTACAGTTCTGTTTTATTCAACACTCCAAGAGAAGAAAGCGAAATTAAAGACAAAAGTATTGACAAAAATCAAACATTATACCAATTGTAACATGTAACCAAAACGCGAATGCGCTGTCAAGGCAGTTATCTACAGGTTTTGTGATTTCATAAACTAGATTGCTTATATTCAAACATATTGGAAATTTGTAAATTATTGCGATGTTTTTATTAAAGCGAACAACACGACTACTGGGGTTACAATAATAAGAGCTCTCATTCTGATATCATGTATTTAGCTTTTGCAGTAAGTCTTTAAACCGGCTATAAAAGAGGGGCGAAAGATACCAGAGGGACATTCAAACTCATAAATCGAAAAAAGACTGTGACAACTCCATGGCTAAAAAAGAAAAAGACAAACAGACAAACAATAGTTAACAAAACACAACATGAAAAACTAAAGACTAAGCAACACGAACACCACAAAAAAAAACGGGGTGATCTCAGTTTCTCCGGAAGGGTATGCAAATCCTGCTCCACATGTTGCACCCGTCGTGTTGGTCATGTTAGTACAAACACGGTAACAATCAAATTCGGTAGGTTACATTCGTGAAAAAGGAACAGGATTATAGTAACGACATTAGGAACATATCCGCTATCATCTGTGAAACGGATATTTCATAACGGCCAAACAACTCGTGATGGCGTCCGTAAAAATTACGAAGGGACGATTTCAGCTTAATCATTTCGAACTCTTGGTTTAATAACGTCCTTGTCAGCAGCAACCCACTAACAAGGAAATCATGTTAGAAATACAAGCCCGGGAATATCGTATTAATAGGCAGATATATAGTCCGTAAAAAGTAAAATCACAAAAATACTGAACTCCTTGGAAAATACAAAAACGGAAGGTCCCTAATCAAACGGCAAAATCAAAAGCTCAAACACATCAAACGAATGCACAATTACCGTCATATTCCTGACTTGGTACAGGTATTTTCCTATGTAGAAAATGGTAAGCAGGCGCTGCTGGAATGTTGCTATATAGATAGGAAACTGAACTAAATCTTTTTTTTTTGTAAAATTTGGTTTTCAACCGATTCTCATTGTCATTTTCCAGATTGTAAGTCAAGATATG